TCTAGCTGTATGTGGGACGTGGCCTCAGCATGGCCGGAGAAGCAGTGCGTCGGTGCACGCCCGGGATCTGAACCCGGGCCACCAGTAGCGGAGCGCGCACACTTAACCGCTAAGCCACGTGGCCGGCCCTAGGCTCCCCTTTTGAACACATGGTTTTGCTCCTCAGTTGAACAGGGCTTTTTCTTTCTTTTTTTTTTTTTAGTGAGGAAGATCAGCCCTGAGCTAACATCCATGCCAATCCTCCTCTTTCTGCCGAGGAAGACTGGCCCTAAGCTAACATCCGTGCCCATTTTCCTCCACTTTATGTGGGACGCTGCCACAGCGTGGCCTGACAAGCGGTGCGTTGGTGCACGCCCGGGATCCGAACCCGGGCCGCCAGCAGCGGAGCGAACGCACTTAACCGCTACGCCACGGGGCTGGCCCCTGAACAGGGGTTTTCAACCAGAGTCTCCACGGCAGTGCACATTTGGGGCCCAGGCTTGCAGCTGCTGGTGCCACTCGGTCATTGGCAGTGCCCTGGGTGGCTGAGGACACTCAGTGTGAGAAGGAGCTGCCCGGAATCCTGCCGAGGAGGCGTCTGAGGCCATCTTGGTCCACCATGGGAGGGACGGAAGCTCCCGTTTCCTCTCCGTCTCCTTCACCACCGATTCCTGCCTAGAAAGACAGCCATGGCCAGTGTTGGCTCCGTGTTATGGAGTGAAGGCCAGCCCTCGATTGCTCTTGTCAGGTCTGAACAGCTTCCTCTTTGGAGTGGTGGCACAGTGGAAGTCAGTGTGTGGTTAGTTTCTTCATGTCTTTATTTGGCAAAGTTGAAGGTGACAGGCCTTGGTCCCCACACTTCCTCCTCCTCCCTTCTCCCCACCCCACTCCACTCTCTCAGTTTTGGTTTTAATTTCACTGGTACACTGATATCTAAGAGTTAAGGCACCACTGTGAGAACTGGGTTCTCCTAGTTGGTTTGCGGGGACTCAGTCCTATGCGCACACACACCTGCCTTCATTATCTGTTCATGTCTGATGGAGAGGTGATGGGGACCTTTAGTCACAAGGCCATCTGCTAGCCACTTGTGGTTTCTCTAGCCCAGAAAGCTGGGGAGTGACACGAAGCATCTTGTCTTCCAAGTAGCCGGATCCATCTCAAGAGCGTGAGAGAGAGAGTGCGAGAGATCAAGCACACAAGTGTGTGTATGGATGTGTGTGTGTACATGTATATATGTGTGCGTGTGTGCATGCATGGGTGTGTGTGTATATACGTGTGCACATGTATGTGCGTGGGCATGTGTGCATGGGTGTGTTTATATGCGTGTATGTGTGTGTGTGTATGCATGTGTTTGTCTGTCTCCCTATCTCTCCCTCCCTTCAGTGCCATGCCCAGGCAGGTGGACTTGGTTCTCCTGGGTTCACTTGCCCCTGGTGGGCCATGTCTGAGCCCTGCCCCCTGTGGCCCTCTGCAGGTTCTCCCATGGGCAGGTGGTCTCTGTGGATGAGCTGCGCCCCTTCCAGGACCCAGACCTGAGCTCCCTGAAGGCTGGCTCTGCGTGTCTGGCCAAGCAACAGGATGGCCTCTGGTACCCAGCACGGATCACTGGTGAGGCTGCCTGTGGGCCTCCCTGACGGGGTCCTTCCTGGAAAGCCCTCTCCATGCATGTCACGTGTTATTCTCATATGACCCCTCCTTTGGTTGGGCATTGGGACCCTGCTCTGTGCCCAAGAGGAGAAGAACACCCTTGCCTTGGCCCCACGTTGCTCCCAACTTCCAGTGTGGCTCCTACCACCTGTTGAGGCCGCTTACCTGGCTTGTCTTTGTCCCCGACCTCCAGATGTGGACAGCGGCTACTACACAGTCAAGTTTGACTCACTGCTGCTGAAGGAGGCTGTGGTGGAGGGGGACTGCATCCTGCCCCCACTGCGCATGGAGCCTGCAGGGTCCTCTGACTCAGACAGCAGTGACCCCGATGACCCCAGTTATGCCAGAGGTATGGCAGCAGCTCAGGGTCAGAAGCAAGGAAGGTAGGGCAAGGGGCAACATTTGTAGTGGTCACCCTGAGAGGCCCCTGGCTGCTAGGGTATCCCAGCCATCTCACCAGATGGTGGGAGAGCATGACTACAGTGAGGTGGGCTGCGCTCAGTATGTGGACACCCTGCAGAGGGGCACTAGTTGTGCCTGAGGAGGCGTGGAAGCCCCCACAGGAGGTTGGGGAGATAAAGAGTACAGGAAGGGTCTGGGGCAGGTCTGGAGACCCACAGACGCAAAGACCCGGCCCTTGTCTCAAAAGAGCACATATGCAACGATTACAGTCCACGTGATGCAAACCTGAGGCCGTGGCCACCAGAAGAGGGGGAGGGGGCTGCTGATGCAGGAGCTGCCAAGGCCGTTGATGCACAGGAAGGGAGCGGTGGGACGTGGCATGCAGGAAGGAGCAGCTCCTTGCAGTGGCTCCTGCTTGGGGCCTGGGTGCCCTGCGGATGGAGGTGGGGCTGTGTCCAGACAGCCGGGGGCAGGAGAGTTCCAGGAAGGGGCTCTGGCCGGCAGTGTCCCGCCCCGCCAAAGCTCGGTTAGGATGAAGACGGGAGGCATCCCCCTGGGATCTGCTACATGAGTTGGTGGTTTCTGAAGCCGCTTGTCCGTGGTGATGAAGGGAAGGACTGAGCCGAGCAGGTGAAGTTGGGGACTGCTCTCCTTGACGGGAGGGGGCACCTCCCCGCCTGGGAAGGTGGGTCAAGGAGGGGCTCTGTGGGGAGAGGCAGCCATGCGACCAGCAGGGCTAGAGCAGGCTGTGCCAGACTCTGCCACAAGCTCTGCCTATTGTCACACGCCACCACGGGCCTGGGCAACTGGCGGAGAGCCTGTGGTACTAGGGATCGAGGCCCTGGCTCAGAGCTGAGCTCTTGGGCTAATGTTGGCCAGAGCCCAGAGTGCTCCGTGTCCACCTAGGCCAAGCCACTGCCTTCTGTTTCCTGCAGTGGTGGAACCTGGTGCTGCCGACCACGGGACCTGCAGCTCTGCCTTCGCCGGCTGGGAGGTGCACACCCGGGGCATTGGCTCCAGACTCCTCGCCAAGATGGGCTACGAGTTTGGCAAGGGTGAGTATGTGCTGCACCGGGGGGTGGGGTGGGGGAGGCAGCTGCCACAGCATAGCCCAGGGGTCCAGTAGCAGTAGTGCCAACCCCGTGTGCCCCTAGGTCTGGGTCGACACTCCGAGGGCCGGGTGGAGCCCATCCACGCTGTGGTGCTGCCTCGAGGCAAGTCACTGGACCAGTGCGCGGAGATCCTGCAGAAGAAGGCCCAAGGCAGCAAGGCTGGCACCAGCAGGCCCCCAAAGTGCCGGGGGAGAGGGGGCAGGCCTGGAGGCCGCCCACCCCCACGTAGCGTGTTTGACTTTCTGAACGAGAAGCTGCAAGGCCAGGATCCTGTGGGCCTGGAGGCCGGGGCAGCCCCCCCAGGGAGGAAGAGTGGCACAGAAACATACCGAGGCACTGCGAGCACCAAGCGGGCCCTGAGCCTGCGGCTCTTCCAGACCGAGGAGAAGATCGAGCAGACCCAGCGGGACATACGGGGCATCCAGGAGGCCCTCGCCCGAAACACAGGCCGGTACGTGTGGAGCTGGGCTCGGGGCCCAGCCCACAGTTCATGTGCAGGAACTCGTCCTGACCTGGGGGAGGGTCTGTATGATTAAAGAGCCTGGGGGCTTGGTGGCAGTGGCCCGGAGGCCCTCGCTGACTAGTGGACTCCTCTCCAGGCACAGTGTGGTGGCAGCCCAGCTGCAGGAGAGGCTGGCGGGAGCCCAGCGGCAGCTGGGGCAGCTCCGGGCCCAGGAGGCAGGCCTGCAGCGGGAGCAAAGGAAGGCGGACACCCACAAGAAGATGACCGAGTTCTAGAGCCCCGCACGCACCATGGCCAGAGCCCAGAGACCCCGGCTCCCAGTTGCCTTCAGGAAGACCAGCTGTCACCCAGCAACCAGGATGCTTCCAGAAGAGGGGCCGTCCCGCTTCAAGGCTAGCCTCCCCGGCTGGCCTTCCTGCTAGCCTGGGCGTGTGGACACTGCTGAGTGGAGATGGGGCTGCAGGGGTCACTCTGAACACTTACTGCCCATCGAGCCCGCCTGCCAGTGTCTTAGGGCGTCTCCTGAGCAAGGACATTAAAGTGATTTTGTTGCGTGTCTTTCAATGGAGGCTCTGCTGGCTATGGGGTCTTTCGGGAGAGAGGAGTCTCTGTGCCGGGCCGGGGGGCAGGGCTGGAGGGGTCCCAAGTGAGGCCACTGCCCCTTGCCCAGAGGCGGAGGGCCCAGGAGGACTGGCGTTCTCCCTGCTCTCCCAGAGGGGGCACTGCCAGCAGCTCCGGCGGGTCAGAGCCAGGGTGGCCTGCATGTGGCCTGACACCCTCAAATGGGTGGAGCGTGGTGCTGCAGTAGTGGGAGGAGACTGAGCTGTGACAGGTCCTCGGGGAGTGCTGTTAAGGAGGCAGGAGGACCTGGCGGGGTGGGTTTGGGAGCCCAAGAGCCTGGGTTCAGCCCCAACGCTTGGCGGCCGTGAGACCGCCCAGTTCCCGTGTGTGCTGGGCCTGTCTCGCCAGCTGCAGCCCACCTCACTGTGGGTGGAGACGACGTGAGTTAGTCTCCTGGAACGGTGCCGGCTTGCAGCACACACCCACCAGTCAAGTCTAGACCCCAGGCAGGGGCCACAGCAGGTGGGTAAGGCCAGGGTGGTGGTTGCCTCGGGAGCAGCTGCAGCAGCGGGTTGAGTGGCTGCGTGGGGGGTGCAGTGAGTGCACAGGCAGGAAGTGAGGGGGAGCTCACTGAGGGCTGCACGAAGGTGCTGCTCCTCAAGGTACCCGAGCCGCCTGGCCAGCCCCAGACAGGGCTGGGGAGGTGCTGCCACGCCCACGGCCTTGGTAAGTCCTGCTCCGGCCTCCACCCTGACCAGGTCCCCAGCCTCCTGGGGGCAGCTCAGGGCTGGGCTCTGGGAGGACTGGGCTCTGGGAGGACTGGGCCCTACCAGGTCAGGGCACTGGGACCTGGGCTGGGACCAGGTTAGCCAGCCTGGGTCCTCTGTGAAGGAAGCCTACTCCCTGGGTCTGGGCAGACTGGCCCCACCGCCAGGGACACCCTACCCCCAGTCTCTGCTGCTTGACTAAAGGCTGTGCTGATTGTGTGGTGGGCCCCCACCCCTAGCAGCTTTGCTGAGACCCCAGGAAGCAGACAGAGCCAATTGCAGAGACGGTTGGAGAGGTGGGGAGGGGAGCCCAAAACAGCCCCTCCTGCCTGCTACCCCCACCTTTCCAGCCCCTCCAGGGCCAGGCTCTGTAGTGGATGGATAGGTATCACCCAAGGCAAGGGCCATCTCTGGGCAGGGCAGGGCTGCAGGTGAGTCGCCCGTGGCTCTAAGGCCCAGGGGCGTGATCTCAGGGGCCTCCCCAGGTCTCAGGTTTGGGCTGCAGTGACCACCGCGGGGCCTTGGCCAGGTCACAGCTGCCCTGCCCCTTCTCACAGGCCTTGCTCAGCCATTGCCTGGGTCATCCTTGCCGACCTGGGTACTCATAGGGCCAGGCAGAGCACACCTCCTCACACCTTGCCAGAGCGGGAAGGTGGGTGCCAAGGCTGTAGCCTCTATAGGGGGGAGGGGTTGTGGAGCCTTGAGGTTTCCTGTGTGCTGAGTCAGAGTGCCCAAGGGGAGGAGAACGCCCAGCAGCATGAGGTGCAGAAGTGGGGCTGCCAGGTGGGCACCAGTCCCTCAGTCAGCCCCCAGAACCCCGGTCTTCCGCCCCCAGGACAGTTCACAGCTTCACAGGATGGGGCCACAGGTGCCCTCAGTGCCTCCTGCCCTCTGGGTCCTGGGGTGCCTTGTCCTGCTCCTCTGGCTGTGGGCGCTGTGCACAGCCTGCCACAGGTATGTCCACCCTTGGCCTGGGTTCTGTGTGGGACCTGGCTCAGCTCTGTGGCCAGAGGGGGTGGGGCTCCAGGCAGATCCCCTCTGGCTCTGTGCACGCACCTCCCTACTGGGCTTGAACCAGAAGCTACGCCCTGCCCCCATGTCTGCCTCCTTGGCCTGACGCCCCTGCCCCCATGTCTGCCTCCTTGGCCTGACGCCCCTCCTGCCTCCAGGAAGCAGGTGCAGAGGCAGCGGGCCGGGCTGCAGGGCAGTGTGGTGCCAGCGGAAGCGGTGAGTGCCAGGCTGTCCCCAGGGCCAGGGAGGGGCCAGCAGGGGACCGACCAGCCTTCCTTGCCCCCAGTCACTGCTGAGACGACCCCACCTCTGCTCCCTCAGCAAGTCAGACACCAGACTACACGAGCTGCACGGGGGCCCTCGTCGCAGCAGAGGTGAGCAGAGCTGGGAGGGGCATCCTGGGTGCCGGGAGGGGCTTGCTGCACTGCACCCCATGACCTCTGCCCTGACCCCACCCCCAGCCCCAAGGCCTGTCAGCATGGATCTCCTGCGCCCACAATGGCTGGAGGAGTCCAGAGACACCACCAGGCCTCTGGCAGCATTCTCACACCGGGAGCTGCCTCAAGCACCCTCCATCAGCCCCGAGGCCACCTATTCCAATGTGGGGCTGGCTTCCATTCCCAGGGCCAGCCTGGCAGCCAACCCTGTGGTGTGGGCAGGGGCACGGCTGACCAGCCGCTGTGCCAGGCCTAGGCCTGAGGCCAGACCCATGGTGGCTGAGTATGCTTGCATCCAGAAGCTCCAGGGAACAGGTCTGGGTCCCCAAGCCGTGGAGCAGGGGAAGGCCCAGGTGACCCCAGCCGCTCAGGTAAAGTGGAGGGGGCAAGGTAGGGTGGGTGGGTGGGCAGATCCTTGGCAGAGTGGATGGTGCTGACCCCTCCCTGGGTCGGCTTCCTCTTTCCAGGTGGACATCCTGTACTCCAGGGTCAACAAGTCTAAAAGGAGGAACCCAGGACCTGCTACACACCAGCCAGAGCCCAAGGGTGGGGGAAGGATTCTGGCTCTGGGGAGTGACCTGGCCTATGAGGCCCTCCCACTCACGGGCCAGGGCGTGGACAACAGTTGCCCAGAAAACGTGTATGAGAGCATCCAGGAGATAGGAGCCCCTGAGCACCTAGAGACCCTCCCACCCCCCACCCCCCGCTCTGGCTATTAGCATGAGTGGACATGTGCAGGGCACAGAGGCCCCTGCTTCCTGCCTCAGCCTAGGGAGGGGTCTCCGACTCCTCCCTGCCACAACACCAAGCACAGATGTTCCCTCCTCCAGAGTGGAGCCGGACTCCCCACTTCCGCCACAGCTGACAGCACAAGTTCCAGATCCCAGGGCTGCCAGCCCGGGACGTCCCCGGGGTCCTGGCCGCATGGCCTCTCCAGGCCAGCGTCTTAATAAATCCCAGTGCGGAGGATGAACACAGCGTGCCTCCCAGCCTACTCTTCTCCGAAAGCTTGGGAGGGTTGGGGGATTCTCTGGAAGGAGTAGAGGCATCCCCCTGGCCTCGGGACAGGCTTCCTCCGACCTGGGGGGCCCGGGCCCTGCCACCTGAGGCCGCCGGCCGGTGAGGCTCAGAAGACAGTGTAGGGAGGGAGGCGAGCGCGGGAGGTGGTTCCCAGGCCGTGGGTCCTGGGGGGCAGTGCGCCCGGCCGGCAGGGTGGCCGCCCCACGGTGGGACTTGGCCCCCGAAGGCCAAGGGAGGGCTCCGCCGCCAGCCCCGGATTTACGTAAGGCTGGGTGAGTGGGTAGTCGTGCGTTAAAGAGTAACCTGGTCCCGGGAAGCCCGCCAAGCGGACGCGGCCCCTTGCCGGGCCGGGCACCCCGCGAGGAGGAGGCCTCCCCGGCGACGGGGGCGGGGCGGGCTGGGCCCCTTCCCCGGCAGCGCGGGA